ATTTAACTGTGAAACTCATAACATGTATCCTATCAACAATTTAGAATCAAACTATCATATATATTAGATCTATTCCACACAATAGACAAAAGATACATTAATTTGTGCTTTCAGGGTGATTTTCAGCACCTAAGGTTTTAAGTGCAAGAAATTTAATATGCTTCTATAGCTTGTAGTTTAAGTGGTGATGGGTAAGTAATGTTTCAGTACCCACAAAAAAAAGCAAACCATTAAATAGTGCCCATCATTTTTCCCCAGGAATGCATTGGAGCCCAGTTGGTACTAGCTAATGAAACAAAAATACACAGAAGGAATCCAGAGGCAATGTTTTCTATCTTGAGTTGGGTGAGTTGACTTGGCAGCTGACATCAGTGATTTACTATCTAACAGACATCTCAGAAGCTGCACTGATTTATCCCACACATCAGTGGGGAGGGTAAGGGGGATTCTATCACATCTGCATGACAGTGATAAGCACAGTTCAGTTTCTGAATTTATGACAGGAACAGAAAAAATCCCTGTTTAAACTTAAAATTATATAAATTTACCTTCCTTCCCTAAAAATATAGTGTAGTAATCTAACTCCCTTTGCTCTCAGACCTTCACTGAGTTAATTTGAACGGATTGACATTAATCACGTGTTTATATTTTGCATATCTTGCAACCTAATGTTTAAATGGCATATAAATATATCATAAAATCAGACTGAGAATATGTGTTACTGAGATAAAATCAAAACAAATTAAGGAAGAGGTTCTACTACTTTTCTTTCAAGATTAAACAACAAGAATTTACATATAAGTGGGAGAAGAATATATCAATGCTCTTCTGTCTTATTGCATATTTCATCATTGATAGTTGCCACATTTTGCAAATTTGGTGCATGTTTCATTTAAATCGAAATATTTTAAGAAGAAGTCATCAAGATCTGGAAAAACATCTCAGCAGTTAATAACAACTGCAGTTATTATTACACAGAATAGAGACAGATTTTGGTTCCTAGCACCCAAAATGGGTGATGCACTGTGTCCTAAAAAAATTCAGCTCCCAAGTGTACTTCACCCTTGCTTGGCCTCTGAGAGTATTGGACACACACTTGTATTTTCTCAAACAGACACTCCCATACACACATATACTTAATTAAATATGATATAAATAGTTTATAAAATGAAACCCCTGGATAGATGGTTTAGTTATTAAAATTATTGGCTATTCTTCCTAAGAACATAGGTTTGTGGTCCAGTACCCAAATGGCAGCTCATAACTACATGTAACTAGTACTTTTCGTGTAATGTAACTCTACTGCCTTCTATGAGAGCAAGGCACATATGTGGTGTGGGAGAAACTGAGGCAAGCCTACCCAAGCTACGAGTGCACAGGCCAGCCTGCATGAGCATCTGCAACAGACACTTCCTCAGTGAGCCAAACCTGCCTCCACACCCAGTAACTGCTGAAAAGGAGGTACTTGACCAGAGACACCAACGAGGAAAGACCAAGGCAGCAAAGTCATCTACCTGAGCCAATGGGACTTTGGGAGGGGCTATAGAGGCAGACAAAACTTCCTTAATAAATGAGTCTACAGAATGCTCTGCTACTCACTCATTCCCAGTGCTGCTTCTTCTCACCCACTCCCTCAATGGGTGTCTCAGCAGCGTAACTCTGCAACATTTGGTGCTTAGATACCAGACTCATGGATCCTGTGCTGGCATGGGACTCAAACATTCTTGAATCAGAGCATGCTTCTTCCCATTGCCAAGGCCATTTTGTGGGCTCTGATCTTTGCCTTTTGTTGCTGGCTATGCATTGGCGGATGGATCCTATATCGGTGTACTCTTGCTTTCACTATCAGCACCCTTTTGGGCTCCTCTTCATGCTTGTGCAGCCTTTCTGCACCCCCTCTTAGGTGACTTGTTCGATGAGTTGGCCGTGTCTCTTTTATGACTTTGGTCCTCTTGAAGGTGAGCTTGGGCCCCTCCTTCTTTTCTGTCTTTTACTTTGAGTCTGTCTGGTATCCTTGGTGCATTGGGTAGGAACATCTACTATACTTAGGTCTGACATACTTGCTGGGTTTGTTCCAGTCTGTTTTTTTTTCTGTTTTAGACTTTGTTCTGAGTCTTCTCACCCTGTCCCACAAGTGGTGTCTGAACAGGGTAACCCGCAACAGCATAGTATACATATAGATATGCAGGCAGAGCACAACAAAAGTAATTTATTTAATTTTTATTTTATCTTCTTTTCTCAAGTCAGTCCCCTCTCCTGGACCTCTCATCCCACCACCCCACAATTTACTTCTCTGTTACTATTCATAAAAAAGCAGGCCTCCAAGGGTTATCAACAAAACATGGCTATTAAGTTGTAGTAAACACTTAGCATTTCTGCTTGTATTAAGACTGGCTGAACAAGGCAACCCAGTATGAAGAGTCAGAAACAAGCACTATTCTCAGTGTTAGAAGTCACACAAGAAACCTAAGCTATACAAGTGCTATCTATATACAGGGCTTAGGTCAGTCCCATGCAGGTTCCTTTGTTGTCAGTTTAGTTTCTGTGAGTTCCTATAAGCCCAGGCTAGCTGATTATATGTAGGAGGAAGTCTCATGCCGCCATTAAACATGTGACTTACTAAGTCTATGCCGCCATTAAACATGTGACTTACTAGAGGCGCACTAGAGGCGCATACAGATGAGGTAATAAAAGGGCGGTTTACCACACCGCTAACCACACCCACTTTAGGCAGGACTAAAGACGTATACGGCTGGACGTAAAGACGTATACGTACGTAGGCGGAACTACGTCACTAGCCAAGCCCACTTTTGGGCATGGCTAGGGGCGTTACGGGGGAAGGCATAAAAGACAGCGCACAGGAAGTCTCGCTCTCTTTTTCTGGAGTTCGGCTTCCGGTCCAGTCGCTAGCTGAGATCTACTGGGCTTCTCTGGGTTTGGTAACTTGTGAGTAATTTTCTACATAAAATACTTAGCGTTACTTTCAGTAATTGTGTGTCGCGTATCGTTACAGCGTCCGTTGAAGCCAACAATTATATGAGTTTTCTTCTGAAGTCCTTGAACCCTCTCTCTCTTCACCATAATTCTCCAGCCATGGCCTGCTGTTTGGCCATGGGTTTCTTCTTCTATTTCAAGTTGCTGGAGGAAGCCTCTCAGATGGCAATTGGTATAGGCACAAATCCATGAATATAGTAAAATGTCATTAGGCATCATAGGCCTGTGTGACAAGGTCTTCAAATCTTTGAAGATGGAAATTGGAGAAGATTTCAGAAGATGGAAAGATCTCTGGTGCTGATGAGTTGCCAGGATTAAAATCGTTATAAAAGGGCCACCTTACCAAAAGCAATCTACAGATGCTACACAGTCCCCTACAAAATTTCAACACAATTCCATACAGACTTGAAAGCACAATATTCATCTTCATATGGAAAGATAAAAAATCCAGGATAGCTAACATAGTCAGGTACAATGAAAGAATTTTCAGAGGTGTCATTATCCCTGATTTCTAGCTGTACTACATAGGTATAGCAATAAAAAAACTGCATGCAATTAGTATACAAACAGACAAATGAATCAATTGAATTTAACCAGAAATAAACCCACACACCTATCTACACCTAATTTTTAACAAAGAAGCCAAAGTATACAATGGGAAAGAAGGAAAGCATCTGCAACAATTGGTGCTGTTATAACTGGATGTTGGCATGTAAATGAATACAAACAGATCTATACCACTCTGCACAAAACTGAAGTCCATGTGGATAAAAATCCCAAAATAAAACCAGATACAGTGAACCTGATAGAAGAGAAAGTGAGAAAAAAACCTTGAACACAGTAACATAGGAGAGAACTTCCTGAGTAGGACACCAATATAACAGACATTAAGATAAACAATTAATAAATGAGACCTTGTGAAACCAAAAAGTTCCTGTAAGGCAAATGACACTGCCAAAAGGACAAAATGTCAGCTTACGCCAACCCCACATCTGACAGAGGGCTAGTTTCCAAAATATATAAAGAATGCAAGAAACTAGACGTCAACATACCAAATAATATAATTAAAAATGGAGTACACATCTAAACAGAATTCTCAACAGAAGAATCTCAAATGGTCAAAAAACATGTACAGAACTGTTCAACATCCAAAGCCATCAGTGAAATGCAAATCAAAACAACTCTGAGAATCCATTTACACCTGTCAGATTGGCTAAAATGAAAAACACTGATGACAGCTTATGCTGGAGATAATGTGGAGCAAGGTGAACAATTTTCTGTGGTTGGTGGGAGTCCACACTTATGCAGTCAATCAATATGGGAATTGATTTACCTCAAGACACTGTGATACCACTCTTAGGCATATAATCAAGGGATGCTCAAACATACCACAGGGACACTTGCTCAACTATGTTCATAGCAGCTTTATTGGGAATAGCCAGAATCTGTAAACAACCTATACACCCCTCAACCAAAAAAAAATGGATAAAGTTAAGGTGGCACATTTACAAAATAGATTATTAGTCCACTATTAAAAACAATGACATTATGTAATTGGAAGGCAAATGGATTGAACCAGAAAAAAAATGTTGTGAATGAGGTTAACTGAACATAGAAAGACAAACATTATCTGTACTCACTTATAAATGGATATTAGCTGGAAAGGAAAGAAAAACCACATTACAATCCACAAACCTGGAGAGGCTAAGCAACAAGGAATGTGAAGGATCAGGTGGGAGGTTGGGTGGGGAGAGTACTGAAAGAGACAATTGGAAAGGGCACATTTCAGAGTCAAGTAGAAACCTGATTGTTAAGAGAAGCTTTTTCTTTGCTAGCCGCTTTGGTTTATCCCCCGCCAGCCGCCTGGGCTATGCCGCTTTGAAGTCCCCAAATAAACACACAGGAGGCTGTATTAACTATGAAGCTGTTGGCCTTGCTTGTCTCTTACTGGCTAGCTCTGCCTTAAGTAATTACCCCATAATTGTTAATCTAAGTATGTTTCTTACCAGGGAATAGTTCCCGGCGTCCTACCCCCATGGCGTCACATGTTGACTCTCTTGTGTTTCCCCTTCCCAGAATCCTCCTCGACTCCTAGTCCCTCCTATCTAGGTTTTCTATTGGCCAGAGAGTACTTTATTGACAAATGCACAGGCAAATAACAGGACTTCCCCAACACCTGATGTAAGGGAAACTCCATGGTGACCCTAGTTTAAACTGCTAGCAACAGGGAATATATTCCCTATTGCTGTACACCTTCTGAGACCAGACAAGACTTCCAGGGGAGGGACTGGGACACCAACCCAGACACACAACCTTTGAACTACAGTCTGTCCTGCTTACAGGATGTGCTGGCGTAAGGGTAGCATGGAGTGTGTGGGAGTGGCCAACTAATGACTGTTCAGCCTGACACACATGCCACAAGGGTGAGTCTACCCCTGACACTGCCAGCAGTGGCAAGACATGGAGGCTAGATGACCCAGAGACCTGGGATTAAACCAAACAGGACTGGAGAAACATTTCTTAATAAAAATAATGAATAATGAATCTCCATCATAAGTATGCAGATTCATTGCACTATTAATAGTTTTGAAGACATTCAAAATTCTTGAAATATTTAAGCTGTAACCTTATTACAATTTCTCTGAATTGTAGTATATTTTAAATTAAGCTTCCTAGATATAATTGGTTTATGCTATCTTAACTTTAAAAACCTATTACTAGTAGTAATAGGGTGTTTTGTTTTTCAGTATAATCTTACGTGTTTATTTTTATTTAAATTAGAAACAAGCTTGCTTTACATGTCAACTCCAGATTCCTCTCCTTCCCTGCCTCCTCTGCCTCTCCATCAACCCTCCCCAGTCCCACACTCAATGCCCCTCTGCTCCCCAGGGAGGGTGAGACCTCCATGGAGAAATCTCCAGAGCCTGTAATTTCATCCAGGATAGGGCCTAGGCCCTCCCCCATGTGTCCAGGATGAGAGAGTATCCCTCAATATGGGATAGACACCCAAAGTCCATTTGTATACCAGGGATAAATACTGATCTGCCACCCAAGGCTCCATAGATTGCCTAGGCTTCCTCACTGATACCCACATTTAGGGGGTCTGGATCAGACCCATGCTGGCCTCTCATAGGATGTTTTCTTTACTGAATCACAAAAGGAATGAAGGAGGGATCCACAAATATGCAACCCTTACCTAAAAAAGAAAAATGAAAACCACTCCCTCAATATTATCCCCTAAGTTGTTTTTATGTGGTTAATAAAAGGCACATAAGCTACCTTAGTTTTATCTTTCTGTGGATTGTTATATATTAAATGTTTTCCTTAGAATCCCAGGGTATTATGGTTACATTTCAGCATTAAGAATATCAAATGTAGCTGTCTGAGCTACAGTCAAATAGACCTACATTTTCTTATTCTAAGGGGTTCTCATTTAAAATGTATAAATTCTTCCACAGAAAGTAAACTGATAAGTCTGATTGCCATCCTTATCATAAGAAGTAGAAGAAAAGCTGAGGACATCCTTCCTTACTGTACTTGAGGGTTGTAATACCAATGCTTTTGATCCCACACTTTATAATGGCACATGAAACAATACAACAAAAGTTTGCAGATATTCATTTCTGAATATCAACACAGCATTAAAAGTACCTGTATTGATTTTTATCAATTTTATGCAGCTGCACTTTGAATCATTCAGAATAAAAGAGATTTAATTTTTCCTATATGCTTTACCTTAGTGAACAATTATGACTGTCAAATCTAATTAATATTAACTATTTTCTTAGTAACATTAATTTTCTAGGCTTGACTTTTAATCTTCATACCCAATTATGTGATATGCTTAGTAAGATAACTGAGAGTTTCAGATTCCAGGCTAGTTAAGATCAAAAACTTGAAATTATTTCTATGAATGCTGATTCTGCAAAATAAATACCTAGGATTGCTAATCACTACTTAATGAAGTTAATTCCATGAGAGTCATACAAGCTCAATCATGTATGTATTTGGGGACTATACTACTTGAGTCAATCTGAACTTGATATTCTCTAGGCAATTAGCCTGATAGATTTTAGATGAAATTATTGGACTCAACAATATTGATTCTCTGGAAAACTGCATAAACAAAAGAACTCAAAGGCTAAAGCAGGAAAAATAAGCTGGTAAACCAACCTAAATACCTGGTCAGTAAAACACGAACCATAGTGTATGGATGCCTACTATGCAGGTTGAAGATTCTGTGTACATTGCTATTTGGTATTAATCGTCATGTTCAGGAACTTTTTGGTGTGCATCCTTCTTTCACTTGCATCTTAAAATTAGAAATAGGAATAACACAAATTGCTGACCTGTGTAATCTGGAAAATTAATACCAAAGACAGTCAATCAGAGATGGATAGATTGGTGACTTAGAAAGCTACAACTAAAGATAAACAGGAAGAGCATCCTGAAAACATGACTCCAATATATGATGGCAAAAGCAATTGTAACAGGTGATGAGCAGAAAAAAGTCACCATGATGAGCTTGCAAACATCAGTGTTTATAGGTAGCTGGAATAATGTTTCAATGCACATGCTCATATAATGAGTTTAGTAAATTAATCGATTCGACTTTTCAGTCAAATAGTATTTGCGCAAAATTTATCAGTACCTCAAATGTGTGGACTTTATCTTTGTCAATATTCCCAAATAAATGCAACAACTATTCCCATAGTATTCACATTTTTGAGCAAGTAGGAAGCAGATGACTCATTAAACAGACAAAAAAGGAAAGGAGCCCACAGGCAGATTAATGCACTTTACTTTTATTTATTCATTTTTATTTTTTGGAATAATGTTATTTTCTTTTATTCATTATGCATACCAACTTCAGTTCCCCTCTTTCCCCTCCCCCCACTTTTCCCCAACCCACACCCATCCACTCTTTAGAAATGGTAATGTCTCCCATGGAAAGTCAACAAAGCCAGGCATATTCAGTTGAGACAGGATCAAGCCACTCACCACCCCTTCCGCTGAACATGAAGGTTGAGCAAGGAATCCCACCATGTGGAATGGGCTTTAAAAAGCCAGCTCATGCATTAGGGATAGATCTTTGTTCTGCTGCCAAGGGTCTCATAAAGAGACCAGGTTATAAAACTCCATTGCCTAATGCAAAGCGCTTGGTTCAGTCCCATACAAGCTCCCCAGCTGTCTGTCTAGAGTTCATGAGAAGCCAAATCAGGTCAACTGTCTATGTGGGTTTTCCAATAATGATCTCGATTGACCCTCCCCCCCTTGCTCATATAATCCCTTCTCCCTCTCTTCTACTTGACTCCAGTAGCTCAGTTTGGTGCTTGCCTGTAGGTTTCTGCATCTGCTTCTAATAGTTCTATGATGACAGCTATGGTGTTGTCCTTTTGTTTAAATTATGGGCACAATCTCGATGGAACACAAACAAGAGATTCACTAACCATGGAGTTTATTAAAGGGGAGAGAGTGAGAGGTGGGGTGAAGAGAGAGAGACAGGGAGGGCGAAGGGTGAGAGAGAGAAAGAGAACATGTGGAGATATATGTTAAAAGTGGGGAGCTTGAAGATGCATGCTGAATCCTTACACAGCTCTGTAATGTATGACACAGTCATGATGTGGCCATGCAACACAGGGCCCTTCGAGCTGCCTACGTATCTGCCTGAATGCCAGTATGCATGTCCCACCTATCTTCAGGCTGAGATTCCAACACACACTGTGTTTGTGCTTTTGGATCTGGTTTCCTTACTCAAATTGAGTTTTTTTTAGTTCTATCCATTTGCCTGCAGTTTTCATGATGTCATTGTTTTTCCAGCTGAGTAATACTCCATTGTGTAAGAGTATAATATTTTCTAAGAGAAGTACAGTCCTATCTGACTCATGAACATTGATACAAAAATACTAACTAAAATACTTGCAAACTGAATCCAAGAACACATCAAAAAAATCATCCACCATGATCAAGTAGGCTTTATCCCACAGATATAGGGACTGTTCAATGTACAAAAAATCTGTCAATGAAATCCAACATATGAACAAACTGGAAAAAAATCCACATGATCATCTCATTAGATGCTGAAAAAGCCTGTTACAAAATCCAACACCCCTTAGTGATAAAGGTGTTATCACTTAGGGATACAAAAACATAACTAAACATAATAAAGCAAAATATAGCAAATCAACAACCAAAAGCAAACTAAATGGAAACTCAAAGCAATTCCACTAAAATTAGGAAAAAGACAAGGCTTTCCCCTCTCTCAAGATTCAATATAATACTGGAAGTTCTGGCTAAAGCAGTAAGACAACAAAAGGAGATTAAGGGGATAAAAAATGGAACAGAAGTCAAACTGTCAATATTTGCTGATGATATGATAAAATACTTATGCAGTCCCCAAAATTCTACCAGGGAACTCCTACTGTGGACAAACACCTCAGTAATGTGGCAAGATACAAGATTAACTCAAAACAATCATTAGCCCTCCTATATACAAATAATAAATGGGCTGTGAAACAAACAAAGAAACATCTCCTTTTAGAATAGCTACAAATAATAGAAAATATCTTGGAGTAACTCTAACCAAACATGTGAAGGACCTGACCTGTATGACCAGAACTTTAAGTCTTTGAGGAAAGAAATTTAAGAAGACATAAGGAAATGGAAAAATCTGTCATGCTCATGGATAGGTAGGATCAACAAAATAAAAATGGCAATCTTACCAAAAGCAATCTACAGATGCAATGCAATCCCCATCAAAATGCCAACAAAACTTTTCATAGACCTCAAAAGAACAATATTCAACTTAGCATGTAAAGACAAAACAAAACAGAAAACAAGGATAGTTAAAACAACCCTGTACAGCAAAGGAATTTTTGGAGGCATCACCATCCATGTCCATCACTTTAAACTCTACTACAGATCCATAATTAGAAAAACAGCTTATTATTGGCATAAAAACAGAAACTTAAACCAATGGAATTGAAGTGTAGACCCTAAAATTAATCCACACACCTATGAATACTTGATTTTTGACAAAGAAACCA